TAGGGAAGCTCCATGTTTAGCAGTTTGAGGAACCTCCAAACAGTTTTCCATAGTGGTTGTACTAGTTTGCATTCACCCTGGTGAGTCTTTCTTAATCAGTACTTAGAGCCCTCTTCATTCCTCCCAACCTTTCTTTTTGTACTGGAACATTCTCTTATGTGCCAAGTTTTGTGGAAGGTAGTTCTCCTTTGCAGTTCTTTGCCATGGGATTGGAGAGTTTATTTGTACTTTACTTTTATCTTGGCCCTCAAGGCTTTGATTTCAAAGCTCAATTTTTACCAAATTTTGCAACCTCTCAGAGGACAAGCAAACTGCTGTGCTCAGTTTATTGCTTTATGCTTGCAGTTGTCTATTTTTTGTTGTTGTTGTGCTTGTTCTAAGAGCACAAACTACAGTTGACCATTGGATAGCACTGGTTTGGATTCCCAGGTCCATTTTTACATAGATTTCTTTTTAGTAGTAAACAGGCAATAATAAATTTATGGTAATATTTTAAACAGACAATATTAAACTTACGATGTCGATGAGTACATCCGTTACTGTGAAAGTATTTCCTCTTCCATGTGACTTTTTTTTTTTTTAAAGATTTTATTTATGTATGCACACAGAGCCGTGGTACAGCCCAGAGGTGCAGGGGTAGTGAGAGAGTTCACTAGAGACAGAGTGAGGAGCAGAACAGGCAGATCAGTGAAGTATACTGCTGAGGGGAGCAGCGGGCAAGGCTGGAGGGGTCTTCCATGCTGTGTGGATCACCCCCCGGGGAGATCAAACTTGGCACTGAAGCGGCTGTGGCTAGCTTGCAGTGCTGTTACCTAACCCATTGTGCCACCAGGGAGGGCCCCATGTGACCTTCTTAATGATGCTTTCTTCTCCCCAGCATCAGTCACTGCAGGATTACAGTATATTATACATATAATGTACCAGATGTGTTAATCGATTGTGTATTTTTTCAGTAAGGCTTGTGTTCAACAGCAGGCTTTTAGTAGTTTTGGTGGGAAGTTAAAGTTCTATGCAGCAATTTGACTGCTTGGGAGTCAGTGCCCCTAAACCCTGGTGCCTAGTATTGCTGATGCATCGACTATATTCTGGCTTAAACATAGGGAACAGATGGGAGAATAGTGTAAGCAAATTCTAAGAATCTACTGAGAATAAACAAAATAGTAATACAAATGGGATGGGGGGAAGTGGCTATTTCAGGGAAGAGAATGTCAAGGTGTTTAACTGTAGTTTAAAGTCTAAGAAAAAGGACTAAAATGAGTCCAGCAGATCGACTGACATGAAAGTCCCTGTAACTCAACAAGAGGTGTTATATCTATTTATTTAAGTTGGCATGAGGGAGCAGAAGTCAGAAGGCAGCATGGTGAGGATTTATTGGGAGTTGGGGGAACAAAATTAGTGGAAAGCATGAATGGGGGTGAAAGGGAAAAGAAGCTGGAGCCAAGAGGCTGCATTTTGTTGAGAGATGGTGACCCCTTTGTAGTGGGGCCAGAAAGGACCCATTTAGGACAGGTCATTGAAAACCTGGAGCAATAGGGGGTCGTCCATCACCTGGTGACCCTGAAGAAGGCAGGAGGGGAATGGGATGCTGAGCCCCAGTGGCGGGGTAGAGGAGTCCATCTTGTGATGATAGCTCGGCATACGTTGATGACTCCAGGTGGAGACACGTAGGTCATGTTTCGTTTCTCAAGACTTCCCAGATCTCTATGAAGAAGGAAAGTAGGAGAAGTGGTTGAGGGTCACAGATTTGAAGCGGAAGGACGAGTTCAGAGAGGGAAACTAGCTTGGAGAGTGATTGAAGGTCCTCGGGATTGCTGACTTGAAGTTGCTCATGGACTCTGTGTTCCTCATGCTGTGCCCCTCTGAGCCCAGATGCCTGCAGGCCTGGGGGAAACAAGCCTCTGTCACCTCCCAAGGTCTGAGTTTCACCAGACAGGGAAAACAGGAGCATATGTTGGGGGTGGGAGCCCTTAAAGCTTTTGGCAGGAGCAGTTAAATGATAGACCAGGATCAAAGTGGGAGGCAGTGTAGGTGGAAGAGTGGGGGGGTGTGGCGGGGAGGGGACTTAGAGTCCAGTGATGTCAAAGAAAGCCCGTGGTGGGCTTCCAAATAAGTGATCTGAGAGAAGGAACTTGTGTTTGGAAGTTCAGTCGGGTGCTGAATTAGAGATGTCCCAGTGGGAGCAGTTCCTGAGGTTAATGTCTAGATTATGACCATCTGTGAATTTTGTGATTAAGGATAGTTTTAATGGGTCACAGTTCTCATCATGGAATTTAAATATATTTTGCCTGGTAATATGCCAGTTTTAACATTTTGACAATCTTAGGAAATTATTTTCTCTCAGCAGAACCTAATTTCTTCTGTTTTAAAGAGATTAACTTTTTTTCTGCCTTTCTTTGTGGCCTCTGATTTATATTTAATTTTATTTGATAGGCTGCAGCAGCATTCTCACGGCTATTACCCTAATTTGGTTCCTCTGTGAGAGAATCATTGCTGATGCCATTAAAATGAGCACACCTGCTCAGCACATTGCTTATTTCTGTTTAGCACGTTGTCTTCCTAGGTCATAACTGTCTCTACCTGTGCCTGCGGGTCATCCTGAGGAGTAATGCCAAGCTGTGTATTCTGTGCTTTCACATCATTGCAGATAATGCAGTGCCTGTTAGGTAGCAATGTCTGTATTATCACCTGCAGTTGCCCGCAGAGTAGTTTTTCCATCAGTTAGATCCAACTGTCAGTTCTTTTCACATAGACACTGATGAGGGGCCCTTGTCAAGAGCACATATGCCAGAGAGCAAAATGGAAGAAGTAGCCTATATGTGTAGTGAAAAGCTACCGATCATAATTATCAGGCAGTAAATAGTTCTTTAATGTTTAAGATAGCTTGTGTACTTGAAGCTGTGCCTCTCTCTTGAAATGGTTAATATCTTTTGTGTTGTTCACTACTTTTCTTTCTGCTTCATTTTTAGGGAGAGAAAAAAAGGAGCCCTAGAGAATGTTGGACTGTTCCCTTGGCTGCATACACAGTGCTAATGAGGTGCCTTCGGGAAGGGGTAAGGCTCCTTTGTTGTCCTCTGTAGATGCCCGCAATTGTAATAGCCCTTCAGGCACTGTGTGAGGATTGTAGCCTGCAGCAGTATAGGGCTTGTCAACCAGGCATTGCTCCTGAATTTAAATAATCCCGACAAGCCACCCTGAGCTGCGACTTATGGTGGAGCAAGCATAAAAATGCACTGGCTTTCTCATTCACATGGTTAAACGACTTGCTTTTTAAAAGATGGTAGCAAGTAGAAACAACACAAGTAGCTTATAAAAATATAGTCTTAAACCTCACCACTTTTAAAGTTGGTATAATGAGAGATTTCTTATGATTCCACCCCCCTCCTCCCGTGATGTACTGTGATTATCTTGTCAAGTTGCAATTTTGCATTTGGTTAAGAAAAGGGGAGCTTCTACTGATTTTAATATTAAGTAGTAGTTATTATGCGGTGTAATCTTTTGATTTATTCATAACATTTCTAATGTTATCACTAATGGCCATCCAGTTGGTCAGCCCACCAACGGGTAGGTGTAGCTTCTGTGTAAAAGGATTGGTTGGGTAAAGGATTTAGTAACTGACCTTAAAGGTTGGCACTTTCTGTTTGCTTTAAGCCATTTGACATTGTTTCACCCAAGGCACAGCCATAGGCTAAAAACATTCCTGAAGGAATGGAAAAATTATGTCACAACAAACATCTTCCTTTTGTGTTCATCATTTCCTATGTAGTAATGGTAATGGAACAATATTCCAAGAGTAGCAAAGCTCTCCAAGGTTTCCCCTGCTGACCCAGAAATGAAGTTTGAGCACTTCCTAGCCTGTGGGGTTGAATACATAGTCAGTTGTCATTATGGGATATGAATGAAGCCAGTCAATTATACTTTCTGACTATGTGAGAATTAGGTCATGTTTAGCTGTCGTCAAAAGACATCTGGGTTTCTCACATAAAGGCCTCAAAATAGGCACACTTGGGGAGACACAGATGAAGAAGGTAAAAATTCTATTTATGGTCCTCTCTGGTGGCGCAGCGGGTTAAAGTATAGTACTAAGAAGCTTCAGCCACTTCCGCATGAGTTCGATCCCCGCCTGCCTGGGAGGAGATCCACATGGCGCTGTACTTCCTCGATCTGCCTGTTCTGCACCTCGCTCTGTCTCTGGTGAATCCTCTCACCCTCTGTATCTCTGGCCTATACCCCAATTCTGTATATAAATAAATCTTTAAAAAAAAAAATTCAGTTTACACACAGACCCCCATCTACTGTGGCAGATAAGATAAAAATATTAAGTGGAATATGCCAAATATATAAATGCCAAAACCAAAATGTAGAAACTGAAAGGAGAAAGAAGTCTTCTAGGAAGTCCTTTAACAGTCTGTAAGAAATTTTAAAAACGGAAAACTTTGCATCTTTAAATTTTAAAACTTAAAATTAACGCCTAGGAAAAGATAATTATTTTTAGTCCATGAGGTTGTATCTTTTATGGACTATCTTCCTCTCTGCCCCCCTCATGTTTAGTATTGTAGACATATATGAATCCTTATACCCATGCATATTGTTACTAAAGTTATTAAAAACTGGAAAATAATCATAGACTTTTTATAATCTACTTTTTTTTAAGATTTATTTATTTGTGCATACAGAACTGGGGTACAGGCCAGAGGCTCAGGGGCGGCGAGAAGCTTTACCAGAGACAGAGTGGGGAGCAGAACAGGCAGATGGACGAAGTACACTGCTGAGGGGAGCAGCGGGC